TTTTAATCATTATTTTTTTAATTTTTTTTTTCAATGCAATTGACATTGGATGTTTGCACATGCATTTCTAATCTCTAAATATCTGATTATTACTAGTCACAGTTGGTTACTTTCTGAGCTTCTAGGCATCTGAGCATGGATATAAAGTCATCAGGTAGATTTATGTAATCATTAATTACATTTATGTAATTATTAGTTAATGTCCATTAATTAATTTATGTAATCACTAATTAATGTCCATTCATCCATTTTCGTATTTTTAAATACTTGATTAGGTGTTTACAAAGATGTATTTTCTCTAAGGTTTTTTTTTTTTTTTATAAGTCATGCAAGTTGCATAATCCTTCAATGGTTTCATTTTCTTCCATTTCATTTCTTTTCCCGAGATAGAGTCTTGTACTATAGTCCAGGCTGGGATTACAGGCACGCACTACGATGCCAGGCTAAATTTCTAAATTAATCCAGTTAAAATCTAATTTTGATGCAAGAAGCAAGGCAGATATTCAGATGTTTTTTCTAGATGGTTGCCCAACAGCTCATTTCCCTCTGTCTATTGTAATTTCCAGTGACACATTCTTTCTGCTCCTTGGAGGCAGCTAGCAGCAGTCTGGTGACACTTTAGCACCTATCTGCATTTTCTGCTCATCTCTTCTGCCTTCAAATTTATGTTGTCAATGCTTTTTGAATGTTTTACCTATTTAAGGGGCACTCCAAAGTCAGTGTATTTAAAACTGAGTATATAATTTTGTTTTCAGTACTATTTTATGTGCTTTGTATTATAAAACACAGAAATGTGGAATTATATTCCATATTTTTCATCCAGACAAATTTTAATCACAGTTTTTTCATCATATCCTCTGTGAGTAAAGTTTGCCATAGATACCAAGTATGATCACAAAGTTTCTGAGGATGAAACTGTCATTTAGCTTTGATTCTCTGTGGTATTAAGGACAGTATGTTGCAGTAGTGGGGCATTCAGGGAAGTTAAGTACATGGAATGTAGGAATACTGAAAGAAAGAATATCAAAATTCTATTCAAAGGAAAGGGTGGGGGATGGACAATGAGAGTAAGAACTGTATTCTGGAAAACATGGATAAGAATTTGGGTGAGTCCTTTAGCAAGTCCTTCAGTCCTTCATTCCTTTGGGTGAATTCTTTAGCAAGAATTTGGGGGAGTCCTGGTTCCTATTATTTTTTGAAATAATGATGGCAGGGGTGGAGGGGATCAAAGCTTTAAAAAGGCAACAAAAAGCCTGACAAGTCACACCTCAACAGGCAGTAAGCTCTGGCTTAGAGAAGAAAGCTTGTTGGGGCCCCCAAGCACCTTCCAAGGGGAATGGCCACACCTAATTCTCTGCTGAAAACAGGGTCCTCTGCAGTTATCCTAACCACATTCTTCCCCTTAATCTGATTTACTGGACCAGAAAGGGCCCTTCACCTAATGACAGACAACCCTTTTTCTGGACAGCAGTTTATGAAATGATCTAGCTCAAGGATATCTCGATAGAGACAAAAAAGAAGCTAATCATAGCTTCCCTTATGTAGACTCTCTTGAGACGTATAAGGGGAGTCACCAGCTGATGAAAGCAGCAACTTCAGCGTACACATAGAGAAAACATAGAGCAGATCCGACAGTAAATGAAACAGAGGAGGCAAATGTGGTGACCACCAGATGTACATCAAGGAGGCATAGAAGAGTAAGGAGAGCCGTGAAGGTTTTTTCTGGTGACTGGGAAAGCAGGCAGTGGTCTTGAATCAAAACGCTAACATCTTGAGCAGTGGTTGGGAAAAGAATGCTGTTGGTTTTTAGGACATACTGAATTAACTAAGCGAGGTGATACTCCCAATGTAGATGCTCAGCTTCAGAGAGATGCCTGGTGACTCTGGAGAGAGTTTAGAGATGACCCATAGCAACAGGGTAACTCACACAGGGTTGGTACTGGTGACAAGTGTGGGGACACGATTCCCAAGGGAGAACCTTGGAAAAGATAGTGAAGAGAAAGCAGGAGGAGCCAGTGAAGAGACAAGGGTTGTTGACAAAACACTGGCCAGGATCCCAGAAGTTTATGGTGACTTTGAAGGCTGAGCTTAGAACAGCAGTGTATGAGTGACCTTATCAGCTGCTCTGAGGTGCTAAGGAGGATGAGGTTGAGGCAGGAGCACATGGTCAGTGATGCAGAGATCATGTTCACCTAGAAGCAGAGCTGCAGGGTTTAAGGAAGAGCAGGGAAGGAGGATAATGGGATGACACGGGGCGGGGGGGAGGCTGGAAGCAGGTTTGAGGAAACACAAGCTTCTTCTCATTTGTTCTGGAATGACAGGAGGATGCTTATTGTTTTTGTAAAGTAGCTGCTTAAGCTTGAGTAAGTTGAAGGCCTTGAAACTAAAAAAGAGATTGAAATGAGGAGGAAGATGGCATGCATGTGTAAAAGTCACACTCCCTACAGGTTACAGTAAGAACAATAGACTCAACTCATTCAGAGTCATAGGTTTAATATTCTATGACTTTTGTTAATATCTAAAACATACTCTATTAGCTTAATTCGTCTGGGGTCAATATTAAAAATCATGATAGCTTGCCCTATTTCCTAATATTTTAACCTAAGATATTTGCATTTCATTCAATTTACATAAAACCTATAAAATCATTTCATGGCTTATGACTATCCTAGAACTGAACTGTTTAACTTCATTGCCTTTGTGCCTTCTCAAGGTACGCATCACAGGAAGCTCAGGTTTATCTCGATTTTTATTTTCCGTTATCTTTTCCCTCATTTTTTTCTTACTTGTTAGTACTTATAATGTCAAAATGTTGACCTGTCAGTATCAAAACTTACCTTGCAAATTGAATTGCTTTGAAGGTGTTTGTGAGGTCGCCACCAAATTGGAAGGTCCGGGACATGGCTGAAGCCATTTCATCTTTACTTTGAAAAGTGCTCAAGTTAAACACAACTCTTGGATTATTGGCATACTGAATTAATGCCACCTTCAAAAGAGCAAAAGTTTATTAATTATCATTGGCTTAAAATAATTTCTACTTAAGCAATATAATAAGAATTGAAAGCGCATTTCGATGTGGGCTGATAATGTAGGGAACCACTTCTAATTCTGTTCTTGACAGTTCCGTTTCTCTGTGGAATGATCTTTGTTAGAGGCCATCAGAGTCTGGTGTTTTTCGAAGAGCCCCTTATCATGTATTTCCTATTGCCACTTCCTGTTCCCACAATCCCATCTCCTAGGTTTGGAGAATCATTTCAGTGTTTGGGAACAGACATCTTGATAGAAAAATGTAACTTTCTTGATCTAAAGGATTAGAAAATGCTACCCCAATCTTGTTCAAAGTCCATCTTTCTCTCTGCTCTCTCAAATAAGATTCTGTATAATGGCATTTCCTATGAAGGTCAGAGGTTCCCTGTCCCATATGGACATCCAGCAACTCTGCTCCAGAGATGCTCAAACCTACAATAGAGGAAAACCAGCAGTCAATCAACCCACACTGTCTACATGGCTTATGAGTGATGAGCTTTCTTTACACTCAATTCTGATTCTGTTACTAACCCTCAACTAATGTGCTGCTATTTTCTATCTATGGCTGATTATAGTTGTTTTCAAGCCTGTTTTCAACTATCCATTAACAGTTAGATTTATTTGTATCTATTTTAATCTCTCTGTTGTAAACCTTGATCCAATAATCATTCACATGAAATATAATACTGAAGTGTTTTTTAAAAAATCTACAGTTATTTCTGAAACCAGATCTTAAGATCTGCACATCCTCTTGCTCGGCAATAGGGCTCCTGTTAACAATGATGGCTGAGTTCAATCCGCTGTTTTGCCTGGGACACAGATGACAGGCACTAGGAAGTTGGTGAGAAATATGAAGATCCTCCCAGACCATCCTGCACATCTTTCTTCAAGATAAGATGTACAACTGGATCAAAACTAACAGGATTTCAGCCTAATGTGGGAGGAACATAGTGGTAACATGACTTCCATGACACAGCCCCAGAGTTACATGAGAAGAGGGAAGAAGGATTTAAAGATGGGATGTGCATTAAATATGGATTCTAAGGAAAAAGATTGAGCTAAATCTCTTCTAGACAGAAATGTGATGCATTGTGGTAGGAAGACAGCAACGAGAAAAGTCATGAATTCTGTGTGAGACTTAAATCCTTGGTGACAGGCGCGGTGAGTGATTTAGAGACAGAAAAGAAACAGGCAATAGGAAATTTTCCCTTTTGCACTTTAAAAGTACTGATCTCCAGAAATCAGTGTTATCCCTAGTCTTAGTTAACAAAAATTTCTGGCAAAAATTTTTGAAATTTTCAAGATCTCAGAAGGCAATATACTCCCTGGGTATAGGAAAGCATCATCAACATTTTATAATATTGTATAAGGAATAGAAAATCAAATTTCAGTAAACATAACTGCAAAGCATAGGGAAGATATTCCAATAATTTTTAGTAGGTGTAGGATGTCAGCCTATTTAATGCAACCTAGATGTGCACTGGGAAATCAGTGAACTGTACCCTGGGGATACTGCTGATCCAAAGGACCTATGAAGGGCAGATTCAATCAGAAATGGGAAAAAGAAAAAAGAGGAGATGGAAAAGAAGGATGAGGACGATGATGAGGAGGAGGAGGAGGAGGAGGAAGAGGAAGAGGAGGGACACTAAAAATATCTAAAGATGTATCCTCTCCCCGTCTCTCTACCATCTTGCTATATGGTTCAGGCAAGTCTCAAACTCCTGGGCTCAAGAGAGGCTCCTCCCTGTCTCTACTGAGTAGCTCGGAGTATAGGTGTCACTGTTAAAATACATGCTACTCAATCTTCTTAGAGAATCATTAAATTTTTACTTTGAATTTTGGGTGCCTACATCAAGAAGATAAAACATCAACTCAGAGACTTCTTAAAATATAGAAAATTATTTTAAATTATTGAAAAGACTTGGTCTTATGTAAAAAGATAAGGGAGATCAGATCAGAATATAAATCAAAGGCTATACATTAATAAATGTTAGAATTATGCTTACTGAGTTATTTTTAAAATTCACAAAATTCAGATAATTGTCTTTACCAGCAAGATGTAAACTGATTCTTGTAAAGGAAATCAGAATTAGTTAAAATGGATATAAAGGGAAAAATATCTAATATTAAAATGTATTTTTAAATATTTATGTATTATTTTTATTAATGGGTATGTGCATGTGTCTTTTTGAATTTATATGCACCGTGTGTGCAGGTGCCTGAGGAGGTCAGAGGGCATCAGGTCCCCTGTAACTTGAGTTATGGACAGTTCTGAGATGCCTGGTATGAGTGCTAGGAACCAAACCTGGTCTTCTGCAAGAGCAGTAAGGGCTCTTAACTGCTGAACTATCTCTGAAGAAGTTTATCTTATTAATAAACTCACGGATTTAAGGACCAAAACAAGTATCTTTTAAAAGAGATTTAAAATGTTGTATACCACTGGGCATGGTGTCTCATACCTTTAATCCTAGCACTTGGGAGGCAGAGTCAGGCAGATCTCTCTGAAATTGACGTCAGCCTAGTCTACATAGTGAGTTCCAAGCCAGTTCGGACTACAGGGAGACCCTGTCTCAAAAATAAAAGTTCTGTGCCATACTTTTGATGCCTGTGTCCAAAATAAAACTATAAGAACAATAACACTGAACAAAGTCACATGTAGAATACTAACCTTAGTGGTACAAATTTCAGTCAACTTTCAAGGTTACCATTAAATGAATTTAAAATGAATACTTAAAAAATGAAAACATTAAGGCTTCATATTTGACATTATTGTCTCAGAAAGAAAGTCATGGATTTGTTTATGTCTTACTGATGTCCTTACCTGTGTCTTTTTGGGTCCTATATCCAGACCTTGTACAAATTTTTCCAAAAAATTCTTTACTGCTTCCCAGGGATAAATACTATTTGATTCATCACATACAACCACGACATCTATGAGGGAAGGGCAGGCTACACAGGAAGAGATGAAAAAACAAAACACATTTTCCACATATAAGTCAAACTTCAGAGCCATGGAAATCCCAGATTTACAGAGTGATTGCCTGGGACTTGATAAAATCCCCCTTTTCTTTAATGGAAGGCAATTCTCAGACCTTCTGCACATTGATAACTTACTCTGAACAGCAGGTGAGAAGCTGGTCAAAGGCTGAAAGTCCGGACTGATGTCAGAACAAACTCCAGTTGCATAATATTGATTCCCACACTGCTGTGCCCACAGAGGACCACATGTCTTCAAAGGGAAGAGAAAATGATAAATAAACACACAGGGAATGCCAACCTTCTGCCTCTCCTTTTACGGAATTGAGGCATCATCTCCATTCTAAGATTTGATGACTTTTTAAACTAACAAATTAAAAATGCCTTTTGAGCAGCCATTTACTGGGAAAGCTGAGGGGACATGGATGAAGATGACAGATGCACTGCCCTATGGGGGCTTTCAGGAGGTGGAGAGATGGACTCTTCAGGGACAAGTGTCAGTGGACCAGGGAACACACAGGGCCACCCAACAAGCTGCCTCCAGAGAAGACCCACAAGGAAACGGAGTGTGAAGTTGACTCTTTGTCTCTCAGGGATCCATTCATAAAATGAAGGTAATCACCTCTCTTTGTGAAGCCTGGATGTTCAATGATGTGTAGACATAAATACTTGCAAGTGTCAGGAAAAGAGCAAGCACTACATTAGCAATCTCATTGTGGTTGATTGAACATCGGTTTCCTACTGCCCCTTCCATTCAGGACTTCTCAGCAGAAAACACAAACCCAAGTATCTCTAAGGACAGGTGGGAACCCTTAAAGAATGTGAAAGCCACCAGGATGAACAAAAAACACATTTCTTGCACATAGGAGTAAGCTATAGTGTCCCTCCCCACCCAGTATGGTGAAACCCAGATTTTCTGAGATTCAGGGGACCAATTTTGAGTGAAAAACCACACTTATAAAACACTCTTCACACACTTGAGCAAACACAGCAGGGTTCATGGACTGCTATTTTTTAACCTTGCTAGAAAATAATTCTTAACTTTGAGGACTTCAGGATCTCTTAGTGCACTTCCTATTTTATCCAGCCAAAGCTGGCTGGAACTTATTTCCTTGCTCAAAGCATTCATACTCCACTTATTAATATCTCCATGCACACGATACCAATTCTGTCTTTTCCAACAGCCTTTTGATAACTGCTGAAAACGATTCAATCCTGATTAAAACACATAGGAAACATTAGACTGAATACAACTAAAATTGATAGATGAAAAGAAGAAAAGCAGGAAAGAGAAGTCTAGTAAAAGCATTAAAAATTTACGAAAGATTTTAACATTATATAAAGTTGTTACCCATGCATGAAACATTGATCTTATTAATGTTAACTGATAATATCAATTATTGAAACTGAATAGAAAAGTGTGGACTTACAAGAAGCAATTGAAAAAAATAAAATGTATTTGACCCAGTTAACTGTGGTAGCTTCAGAGAAGGAGCTGTGCTCATATTTCATGCTCAGCATACAAGCATAGTTTCCCTCCCATAAAACTGGTACATGTGGCCCACTAAGAAAAAGTTATTCTTGTTTCTAGCTAGTATACAAAGCATAGATAGCAATGATCAACTCCTATATCTGCAATCTCAATTTTTAGCACCTTGAAAAACAACGCATGAAGTATGCAAGAACAGAAGTTCTTGTTTCATAAGCAGTGGAAAACAGCATTAAGAAGTTGGAATTATGGTATGCCAATTGTCCTTGCCAGAACATTGTTGCTTTAAGCCCAGAACTTAAGAATGCTCAAAAGTATGTGATGATTGTCAATCTTTTCCACATAAGTTTTTCAACTATCTCAAGATTTTGACCTTTTAAATATGTAAAGAAATTCTGTATCTCTCTCTTTTTTTCTCTCTCTCTTCCCTCCTCCCTCCCTCCTTCCTTCCCTCTTTCCTACAACAATCACTTTTTATTATAAGTTCATTTTATTATATCTGGAGTTAAGAATTAAAGTTTTTGAAGAACATCTACCATCCCCAATTCTCCAAACAATCTTCTTAGTCAACCATAAAATAAACAAAATACACAAAATCTACTCTATTATAAAGACTATTGAATATAATAAACCACAAAGATACCTTGCAATAAACATTTGTATCCTGCCATGAAGCATATTAATATGCAATATTTAATTTACTTAGTGTTAGCAAGGTTGTCTGAATATAAATATCCATTACTATAAGCTGAATGACAGTATTCAAAATGGGTATATTTTAAGAAAAATCCAGTTTAAAACACAATTTTATGTTGGGATATTAATAACACAGATAAAACTAACAATGTTAAACCAAGCTTTCCAAGACAATTTTAACAGTGCTATATCACTATTCTTATACGAACCAGAGAAAATTTCAAACTAGATTTAATTTTTACTTGTTTTGTCTTTTAACCTTTGTGGGGGGGGATATATACTTTTCAATGTTTATATAGTCAACTGTTTTCAACAATTTCTGATATCATTTCCTCTATTTAATTCTAAGCTCAGAAACTTTCTCCTTCAGAAAATTTCCATTTTCTTCTATATTATATTAGCCCTTTAAATCACCTGAAAATATTTGAATATGTGAATTATTTTTAAAAATTTATTTTAATATTTCTGTATGGGTCTGTGTGCACATATGTATATACTGATGTGTATGTGTGCCCAGGGAGGCCAGAAGAGGGTGTCAGATCTCTTGGAGCTGGAATTACAGTCAGTTGTGCACCAACTGATGTGGGTACTCTGATAAAGCAGCAAATACTCTTGTGGTTTTTTTTAGTCTTTTTGACTCAGGGTCTCCCTTTAGCCCCAGCTGGCCTGGAACTCACTATGTAGACCAGGTTGGCCTTGAACTCACAGAGATCTGCCTGCCTCTGCCTCCCAAGTGCTGGGATTAAAGGCATGCACCACCACTCCTGGCTGTTAATTATTAACCAATTTATTGTCCTCACATCTATTTCTACATAAGGCATTCTACTTTACTGACTTTGATATCATCTCATAACCCATTAGAAGACATGGCAGAGTACCAGCAGATACTAAGGTGAATCACACTTAAAGAAAATCAGATAAGCCAGACATCATAGCAAAGGATTAAAGACAAAAATATTCCATGGCTTTGAACACCGCCCTCTGAAGGAACAGTCTTCTACTGAGTGCTCCTTGAGGAAGTGGAAATGTAACGTGGGATTTTGTATGCACAACTGCTTAGCACATCATCCAAGAGCCAAGTCTGGCTTCTTCTTATCTGACTCCTTCATTCAAAATGATGACTGTTCTGCTGAATTTTTAAGAAGTCTGCACATCAACACTGCTCTTTTTCCTAGGTTATCCAAATAGCATAACTGGTCCAAAAGCAAATTATAATGCTTAAATGTCTAGATTTGATTTGACAAGAGGTGTATGAGAAGACCCTGACAAAGTCTCTCAGGATAGAATGAGGATTTGAGAGGAAAACACTCACTAGAAAACCGCCAGTTCCCGTGTTTCTGGTGAGGGTCAAACCGAGGCTCATGTTGGTTTTTATCTCAGTAACATTTAAGATTCTTGTTGAAGCTTTTAGAGAGAGAGATTAAAAATTATTAAATACATTTTAAAGTTATTAAAGTATTAATTAAAATCAAAATGATTAAAGTATTGAATCTTTAGCATTTACTTAAGACTATTAAAAAACGACAGGCAGACCCAAGTTTTCCCATATTTGAGTACAAAGCCTTATATCCAGGAGTAGGAGTTATATAGTGAAGTGTGGGGATGTGATGCCTTCAGCCATCCACAGCTCACTTGAGAGAGCATCTCAGCATAAGAGGCTGTGGAATAGAGGCTGTTAGGGAATTTGCTCTGGCGAGGACAGTTAAATCCATTGTTTCAATGAACAAAATGAACAATGTTTCAACCAAACAAAATGCACGTGAGGGCATCATTTGTTTCTGTTTGTCACACTGTCTTTCACTTCTTTTTATCTGGAGGGTTTAAAATATCCTTTAATGAATGTCATTTGATACAATCTGGCCCAAAGCAGTAGAATTTTAAAAAGAAATCATGAGACCAGCCAGGCAAAATAAGAAATGAATCTCTTTAACTTTCTTTCCTTATAAACTAAGACACCAGTACCTGGTTCTATCTGTACTAGATCTATTAAACCTTTCAATTCTCCTCAACATTACAGTTTATGCCTGTTCTTCCTTTCAGCCAAGCCATCACTACCACTTTCATTTATCCTTAGCTGGATTTCTTCCCTCATTTTCCAGAGCGAGTGTTGTGATGACTTCACTCTTCTGAAGTCTTCTACTCACCCCTGGTCCAGGCACTTTCCATGAGAAAACCATGTACTTCAGAGATGAATCACATTCAGGTGGCCTTAGCTCTGCTCATCACTGGTGGGGGTCATTTTCAGAACCTGTATCTCCCTCCTTCCTTCCTGTCTTAAAGAAGTGGGCATTCCTCGGACACACTCTCCTGGGTACCAGTAATCTTACTTTTATTTGATTAACTCTGTTCTTGACTCACAGACACTTTTCTGACTCTGTCCTACAGACAGGGTGATCTCTTTTTCTGGAAGGAGCTCCTAAACTTGGGGCCCCTTAGAGCTATTTTTCCCAGCTCTCCTGTATTACTCAACTTCTCCCCAGACCTGTACTAGATTTATCATTTAGGTAGGTTACAGATTGTTTGGTAGAATCCAGAAAGAAAATGATAGAAGTTATGTGCATATGCTTTTATTTAAAATATTTTATATTAAGTATATTGTTAATAAGGTAACATACCAATACATGTTTATACTTAAAACAAATATTAGGGATAATGCTCAAAAGTTAAGATGACAGAATGGATGGAGGTGATATAATCAAACTTTTTTTTCTATAGTGCTGGGGATTGAACCTAGGCCCTCACATACTCTAGACTCAACCGTTAACCTACACCCCCTGCTGATATAATGAAACTTTTGAACATTCATTCCACATGTAGTGAATGTTTAGGACTCTATCACCTGCATGCCTTTGAAGTAAACTGAAGATATTTACTCCTCACACTTCAATTTCTGTAGCTTTTGACATAATTGATAACTCTTATTACCACAATGAAAATAAGCTCTGTGAGCAATTATGCTACTTGGCATATAGAGATATGTTCGGGGAACTCCCGCCCTTGTTTTCTAATTTCTCTGTGTGTGTGTGTGTGTGTGTGTGTGTGTGTGTGGTGTATGCACACGTGTGTACATATGCATATATGTGCATGTATATGTGGAAGTCAGAGGACAACCTTGGTATTGTTCCTTAGTTATCATCTACCTTTTCTTTGTTAGACAGGGTCTCTCACTGGCCTAGAACTCACCAAGGCACCCTGAGCCATCTCCCTAGCCATCTTTCTAATTCTAAACCTCTCTTTCTGAAATTCTTCTTTCTTCTGGGTTTTTTTTTTTTTTTTCCCCCTCTAACAATATCTTCCCATTTCATGCTTTGATTCTTTAGGAGAACTCTGTGATTCCTCCGACATAACAGCAATCAAATTGCATAGCTTTTTACTTCCTTCAGAAAATATTGTGTAGAAATATTACTCAGTGGGCTGGAGAGATGGCTCAGCAGTTAAGAGCACTGGCTGCTCTTGCAGAGGGCCCAGGTTCAGTTCCCAGCACCCTCATGGCAGCTAACAACCATCCTAACTCCAGTTCTAGGGTTTCTGATGCCCTCTTCTGGTCTCCACGAGCATTGCATGACACAGGTGCACTTACATAAATGCAGGCAAAACACTCTTACACGGAAAAATAAAAATAATAAAGTATTTTTAAAAGAAATATTACTCATGTAGATTTCTAAATTTCTTTAGTAATATTTTTTGCATCACATCTGTCATGAAAATAATTGAAATAGCAAATAATTCTGCAGTGTGAACTTTTTATTAGCATGCAACCATTCAGACAGCATCTGAAATGTGTAGTATTTCTTGGAACCTCCGATCTCAGCCCTAAAAGTAATGTTTCTATACATAATGGCTTGATATGGAGAAAGAAGATACAGAGAAATAGAGTTTTTTGCCCATAATCTACAATATAAATATTAGTAGAAAACAGTCCATGGTCTATGGAAGATGGTCCAGGAAACAGAATACCAATTACTAAACCAGGGTCTTTAAACTCTTGAAAATTTGGAAGCAAATTTGTCACCACACAATTAAAGAAATAAAGGCATGAAACTATATTTCTTTAAGCTAAAATAAGTATCTTTTTGTTATTGTTTGGTTGAGTTTATGACAAATAAGAGTCTGTTTTTTGTAGAAAATTACATTGCTAAACACAACTTACTTTGCAAATTCAGCTTTTCACATGTGGCAGTTGCTAGGTCAACAGGGCACTTGTACACATCTCCCATTCGGTTCTCTGGAAAGCCACTCCATGGTGAACCAACCAGTAGCCTAGAAACAAAGATGTTTTCACTTGTTATGATATGCCATGTACAACTTATTAAAGGTAAAGCTGACCACAGATCAGTGGAAACACATTTAATTTTACATAAATGAACAGTACATATTTGTCCAGTTATAATTCGACCCATTTCCTGACTCTTAGTTGACCAAGATGCTTAATGAATGTCTGTGGTATAGCTGCTTTACCACACCCTGAGATGTTGCTCAGAAGCAGTGGGAGAAACATAATACGTGCCACAAATGTGAACTACTTCTGCAGTTCCAAATGTCTAGTAGCCAATAACATCAACATGGTGGAAGTGGAATGACTTTTAATAATGTATTTTAGTTAGCTCTACACTTCGAAACTAGTATGCAGTCAATATAAAAATTATCAGTGAATTACTTTTCATTTTTTTCCCACTAAGTCTTTGAAATTTAGTGTATATTTTATACTTAGAGGGCACATGTGACTAGATGCTACAGTATTTGTCAGCATACCTCTAAATAATTACATCATGTTCACACCCAAGGGTGACAACTAACATTTGTTCTTTCTATGCCCTAAGTATTGTCATATGTTAACTCATTTAGAGAGCAGGTGAGTCACCTAGGTGACTTTGTAGTTATCATCTTTATAAGATGGTATTTAGCAAAAATACTGAACACATACACCACGTAGCTCTCCCTGCTGAGTGCAACAACGGGTGCATATCTATAATGCAGAATGAGTCCAGTGCTCACATCCTTCCTTTGGTTAGTTTCACTTCCTGCAGAGCTTCTCCTAGAGACTGTGCTTCTACACACAGAAGCATTCATTAGACATTTATGATCACAGAGAATTGAATCGAAAGAGTCCATGAATAGTTTGATGTTTTTCTCTTTTTCTCTTGTGTATATGTGTGTTCGTGTATGAGCAGGTATATGTGGAGGCCAGAAGACAACCTCAGGTATCATTCCTCGGGAATACCATCCACCTCCTTTGAAACAGGGTGTTTCATTGTCCAAGAGCTCACCAATTAGGCTAGACTGGGTGGCCATCGAGCCTCAGGGATCCACCCATCCTGCTTCCCTAGCACTCAGACTCCAAATAAGTCACCAGCGTATCTATATGGGCTCTGTAGATCAATCTCAGGTCCTCAGACTTCTGAGGCAAACACTTTCCCAACTAAGCTATCACCCTAGCCCCCAGCAGTGTGATCTATAGAGACAGTTACTATTGAGTAAATTCCAGTTACTAAGGAAGTATATTTGCTTCAGTGTCCCCCCGCCCATTGTCAAAGTTGGGAAGGATTACATTATCTATGAAATTCTTCCTTGAGCCTTCTTTGTTAACAAATTTATCATTATCATTTAAACCTGTGCTCCATGCTAAATGCTATAGGAGATACACAAATACTAAGGCAGATTCCTATCTACTAAATCTAGAATAACAGCTTGATATACACAACAAATAATAATACTAATGAACTGAAGGACAGTTAAGCTCCCTGTGAAACAAATGTTCAAATGGTGAAAGAGCACAAAAAAGACATGATGGATGAAAGGCAGCTTATAGTTCATTAATAATGTTCTCATTCATCTTATCAAACTTTCTTAAAGCCAGGCGTAGTGGTGCATGCCTTTAATCCCAGCACTTGGGAGACAGAGGTAGGCGGATCTCTGTGAGTTTGAGGCCAGCCTGGTCTTCATAGCGAATCCAGGGCAGCTGTGACTACACTGGTCTACATAGTGAGTTCCAGGACAGCTGGGGCTACAGGAAGACCCTGTCTCAAAAAAACCAAAAAAAAAAAAAAAAGTTCTTTTTTCCTTAAACAGCATTAGAATTTTAAAAAAATTGTCTTATGAACAGATAATTTAGCACCATCTAGTAAAATGTTATTCATACTCAAGTTTGCAATAATACCAGGCACATAGGTTAAAGGGTTTTCTTTTTTAAGTCAAAAATTTGGACTGGAGAGATGGCTCAGTGGTTAAGAGCACTATTTGCTCTTGTAGAAGACCTGTGTTTGAGTCCCAGCACCCACATGTCAGCCCACAACCATCTATAACTCCAGTTTCAGGAGATCCAACTCCTCTGGCCTTCTTGGACACTGCACTATCCAAGTATACTTACATATAGGCAGGCATAACACTCACACATAAAATGAAAAATATATTTAAAAAATTTTAAAATGAAGCAGACTATGGAGGCTGTCTGGCACTCTGGTGCCAACTTGACTGGATCTAGAAGCACCATGGAAACATTCCTCTGTCTGTATCTATGAAGGTATTTCCATGATGGTTTAATTGAGAAGACCCACAGTAAGTATGGACAGCACCATAGTGTGGCTGGAGTCTTGGACTGAATTAAAAGGAGAAAATTGAACTATCTGAGCACTGCATTCATCACTGTTCTAGTTTGTTTCTCTACTGCTGTGACAAAACACTCTGGCCACTATCAACTTGGGGAGGAAAGGGTTTATTTTTCTTATATCTTCTGGGACATAATTCATTGCTGAGGAAGCCCAAGGTAGGAACTCAGGGCAGGAACCTGGAGGCAGGAGCTGGAGCACAGGTCATGGAAGAACACTGCTTACTGGCTTGCTCCTCTTGTCCTGGCTCAACCTGCTTTTATATACAACACAGGCCCACCTGCCCAGGGATGGCACTCTCCACAGTATGCTGGACCCTCCCACATCACTCAACAATCAAGAAGACGCCCCACAGACATGGCCACAGGCCAGTTCAATGGAAGCAATTTACCAATTGAGGTTCCCTCTACTCAGGTGTGTCAAGTTGACAAATAAAGCTATCTAGCACAACCGTGCTTCCTGTTTGTAGCCGCAATGTGACCAGGTGCCTCACACTCCAGCCATCATGCCTTTCCACCATGATGGGCTTACCCTCAAATTGTGAGCTAAAATGAACTTTTTCTTCTTTAAGTTACTAGTGTTATGTATTTTATCAAGACATCGGGAAAAGTAGCTAACAGATGCACGTTACAACAAGTAGTTACCACAGAGTATGGCTCTGTCCCTTGGCATTCTGGGAATTCTCATTAATTACAGTAAATCTTACAGTATTTTGAAGTGGGTATAAGTGTTTCCAAGAGATAGCTGTTTTAATCTGCAAAAGAGATGTGAGACTATGTTATCTGTGTTTTACAGGTAGAAGCACTGAGAGAAAGAGATGAGCAATTTACTCATGATCAAATGGCCAGTCAGAGTCAACTGTACCCCTTCCAGAAACCCAGGTTAATCTTAACCGTCAGGAAACCCTCTTTCCTCTTAGTAACCTCTGGGATGCTTGGATTGGGCCCGAGAAAACTACTAGAGCAGATGAGTTGAGATATAGAAATTGCATGGAGTAGAACCAGAAGCAGAGGGTCAGGTCATACTGGGAATAGGTGTGTGATTGTGTGGTGTTGAAGGGAGCTGCAAACTGGACACCTGCCATGGCTATCTTTGTGAGAACACATGCCCACAGCAAGGCAAGGACCAGGCTTTTCAAAATCACAGCGAAGGACAGAGTATGTGCAATAGCAACAGATTCTGTCATTCAGATGACTTCTCTTATGTGCATTTCCACACATCCTCACCACAGCCAAGGAAAGACACACGGAGGAATTCAAGGCAGGGGTTTTGTCTCTAAGAGCCACCAGGGGCAAGGCTGCAGCACCAGCTGCCCTTGATCTCCCTATGTGCTGCTTCCTACCCCACCGAGCACCTGCTGGGCACCCCCACCCCCACCCCTTCCCACTTCATCTAAGAATTCAAAATTAGACAACCTTGACATAGAGAGGGATTTAGAAATCACCATTACTGCTGTGAGCACTGTGGCTCTCCCAAGGTTATCAGACAGGAAGAAGAGAGAGAGGCATATACACGCTCTGCTGCTTGACGCTCAACAATGAGGATGTGAAAGCCCTGGAAATTATCTGAAAAAAATACAAATAAACTTGCTATCTTCATTTTCTCTCTTATACTCAACACAAGACAGGAGAAAACAGTGGAAAATTAGGCCTTCCTGGGGATGGCTGAAGAGCCAGGGTGTCCTGGTCATGCATGACTCATTCTGTAAATATAAGCACATTAGATCGCCACCTCCAAGTCAGCAACTACAGAGAAGGTTCCAGATCTCTGCCCACTGCCTTTACTGCTAAAGCCTTCAAGTCTCCAATCTATTCCTCCTTACATGCCCCCTGAGGCCACGAGGCTTCCACAGAATTCTGTTTCCTGATTGCTCACCCTCATGTGGAGAGCCCATGACATCACCAGAGGCTGCTCCCAGGAAATCATGACATTTTTAAATTAATCAGACAGGAAGTTGGGGAGACTGCTATAGTCATCTACAAAATTTTATGGATTCAACTCTAGCAAGAAGAGACACACTAGGTCACACTGTTATAGAAGCAAACCAGGCTGAAATACTGCAAAACTTTGTTGATATAGATTTCATTTAATTCCAACCAGAAAGAAAAGACCTGCATGCATGAATACTCTCACATGCTGATTCTCAACACTGAACAAAAGCCCAACATATAAACTTCTCCTTTCCTACAGGGAAACTGGGAATTCTTCCAAGACTACCTTAAATAACACTTACTGTTCAATTATCTTGTGGGAAAATAGTGATTATGTAGACTCCCAAAACATAGCCAATTTGCTACCTCCAGTGGAATTCAAAGGGCTTTGTTTTGTTAGTAAGTGATATTTATGGTAGTGTAGGCAGGACAGTTTTAAATCCACTATCCAGGAGCTTCCATAAATATCTTCCTTTGGTCTATGGGTCCCTAAGCTCTCCAACCATTTCTTCAACACTAAGAAAGTTTCTTTTTTAAAGAAAGAATCTCATTATGTAGCTCTAGTTGGCCTCAGACTTACAAACTTGGAGAGATCCACTGTCTCTGCCTCCCCAGATCCCCACTGCTGGGATTAAAGGTGTGGGCCACCAGGCCTGGCTAGCACCAGGGATTTCTACAAATATTCCTGACAGAAGTGTACTTAAAATAGTATGACTTTGGGCTG